TTCTCATATTTGGTGTTTTATATACGTATCGAAATAAGATTACATTAAATTTATAATGTATATTTTCTTCAAAGTTAACGTTCTTTGTTAACAATCGTTATTTCATATTCTTTTAATAGTAACTTTTTGTTTTTTTATTTTTAATTGTTGAGGAGTAAATTGATTAAAAATTCAATAAATTTGTCTTAAAACTTTGACTCACCAATTCTTACTGCTCCAATTCCAAAAACCCAAACTTGACCTTATGTTACATTAGGTCAAATAAGAAATGATTTAAAATATTAAATTAGCATGATTTAATATTTTATAAATTTTAAATTTAGATATTTGAAAACGATACCCAATTCAATCCTTTTTATATTAATTTTGTAACAAATATGGAAAAAAAAATACATAAATACATTTTATCATTTCAGATTTCTAAAATTTCTTCCATTTTAAAGTTACAAAAATTCCATCTTGGTACATTCTTACCTCATTTTATTATCTTATATTGGATTTGAAATATTAGCTAATTTCATAATTATTTTATCCCTTCATTTATACAAAAAAGAAGAAGATAAAATTACTATTTTATATGAAATGTAAAATTTTATTTTATCTCTCATATCACTAACCAACTATTAAGCTTATTATATTAGATATTTATTTCAATTTCTTAGTTGAATTATTGTGAAACTTTGAGGTGGATATACATGTGACATTAATTATAATGCCCATGTTATGCATGCTACTTGTTTGATCAAAGTTGTTTCCCAAATTATTATTTTTTAATTAAAATAATGTTGTTTGACCCAAAAAAAATATTATTCAATTAATCATTAAAGTTCCTTTTGAATTCTTCATTAATCATTCATATAATAATCTTTAAAGTATGTACTACTAGATTTCTCAATATATAGCTATGGTCCATATTTAAATATCGTGATAACAAGAGATATTTCTTAGTTAAAATTAGAAAATAAATCACATTTGTTTCATTAATTGCTTCTTGAATATCATCCATATATATATTTGTAATTATGTGATTGTGAGAGGCGTGTCAGATATAAGATAAAATCGAAATAAGGATATAAATACATAAAAAAAATTTTAAAAAATCAAATTATATATACATTTATACACAAAGAAGCGAAAAAAGGGATTCAGATGAGCCTCCTTACGTTCCTTAGTCCCCCACCCACCCACGCTCTTACCCCACATCGTAATAACTGAGACGTTTTAATCACTTTTATTCAATACTAATAAAGTTTGTTACTATAATATTACCTCCGACAATAGAAATCAACGGACCTCTTTTGCCCTTTACCCTTAAAAGGAGCTTATGATAATTTTGATCAACAATCGAAAATTTATTATAGACTCGATTTTTACATTAAATCAATAAAACTATAATTTGTATATATACATTGTCTCTAAATTACATTAATTAATATATATTTTTACTCTCGTATTCTCATTCATGAATTCAAAGTCCATTCCATGCATATAACCTTCAAAATAGGATCATTTTAAATTTAATAACTATATGATAATTTGACCATATTATAAAATGATAAAATATTATTGTATTATCATATGGTGTCCACATGTTGTAAAACGTGGCCTAACTTTTCCAATAATTGATTCATTAGTAATTATAGGTTGGTTTAAAGGGGGTAGGTATGAAAATTAGTTTTCACTTTTTAAAATAAACGAAATAAATTCTTTTATTTTTTAATATCACTTTGTCACCACCTAGCTATGAAGATTAGAAAGATATATCTTTAGATTTTAGAAGATTAACCTTTCTTGTTAAACATTTACAAATACAAATTTATTTTAAGTTGATTTTTATTGAAAATAATTTTTCTATTTTCAGATAGTAATAAAGTCGCGTAACACAATTTTATTGAGTTTTCTTATATGTCAATCATTGCAATTTGCACATGCTTGTCGTATTAGTCTAAAACAAGTGTCACATAACTTTTGGTTTGTTATATACAATATTAATATAATCATAGTATATCAATAAAATAAAACAAACAAGGACAAATATCAATTATATAAAAATATCCTTAATTTAAATAGTATTGTTGCCTTAAAGTTTAGGTAAACAATTTATATTTAGAATATGTTGTGAGTGATCTAAGGTGATTGTAAATGTGACATTGCATTAATTCTACCTATTAGAACGTTCTAAAACGTTCAAGATTTATTTTATTTTATTTTTAAAATGGGGAAATGACTAAATGAAATAGTATATATATTTTTAAAAAAAGGAAAAAAAATTGAAGAATTATATATAAAAAAAGAATGGGAAAAAGAAAGTGAAGGACGAAATGAAATTACATAAACCAAAAGTAATGTAATAATTAAATTGCACTAGGTTAGCTTCGATGCGATATTATCCATTGATAAGGCATTTATAATATATCATTTATACTGCGACAATTCAATATACTTTCAAATTAATTAATTTTTAACCCTTATTAACCGAAAAATTCTTAAGCTTCAACCCTATATGTACTAAACTTAACTTCAGACATCACATGCGTAGAATTATTTCAAAATAATATTATGAAAACTGTTGAATCCTATAATCTTAATATAAGTATCTTTAAAATACTGACTTGTCAAATCATATGACCTTAATATGTCATGTTGATTCTATATAAAAGTATTATTAAAAATAAAATAAGAATATTAAGGTTTCAATTATTTGAGTGGTTATTAACAAATCAATTATTTTCTTTTGCCAATGATTATCGTTACATAATATTTGTTGATGCTATTAATAAAGAAAAAGAAATTGTACATATCCTTTTTTGTCGTTGAATAATTGAAGTAATTAATTAAAAGCATTTTTTAAAAAAATTTTGTAATATGAGAATTAGAGAAAACTCAACATTATAAATATATGGAATTTCTTTTTCCCAAAATAATTGACTAATAAATAATATATAAATAATCTTTAGCAGAACAGACCAACACATGCATTTCTATTCATAATTCATAAAAGATTTATTTCAAAAAATTGTCTTTAAAAATAATTTCTTATTCAAATTTAAATAAGCTCTAAGTGATTAAATCTCAAGAAATAATCGTAAAACGATCACCAGCACATGTAATTAATGTCAATGATATACCAACATGGGGTGTACTAGTGAGGCTGTTTTCAGAGAATCTTATTGGTATATCACTTCCGAATGAGCATTGCAGTGCACGATTCAAATTTAGTCGAAGCTTCAATCTCAACTTCGAATATTAGAAAATTAACAAATCAAAATGTATCAATTAACACACCTCAATTAGTAGATGTTATTCCGCCACTACAACTGTTCTTCCTATTCCCGCAACATATTTTTTTAAAAAATATATGTTTAGATAAATTCAAAACTACTGATTAATCGAATGAGTCAATCTTTTTCGATTCGTAATCAACACAACAATTGCACGGCCCAACATAACAATCTTAACACGTGAAATAAGATAGCATATAAAGCATAGTAAAATTTTACTAAGTTAATATTTTATACATTAATAATTTTTTTAGGATAATGTTTTTTTTCAATATTAATTTGGATCAATAGAAAAAATCGTTTATTTTAACAAAATAATATACTATCAGAATATTACTAAATAAATATATAGTCCCAATAATATTATAAATAAAAGTAATAAATATATTTAAAATGATTTAGTAAAATATAATCTTATTATTCATTTTTTTTAAAAAAAAATATATTAAAGTTTAATTGAAACTCATCTCTATTTTTTTAATTATAAAAAAAAATTAATGTTGCCTTTTTAAAATTGCTATAAAATTGTGTACTTTAAAATATAATAAGTGTTTCTTACACATAATTGATTGGATATTTATTGTATAATCTTCAACATCATCGTCAACTATTATTTGTTCAATAGTATCCGCAATTTTACATATGTATCTTATCATCTTTAACTTCATTATTAATATTATTTTTCAATAGTATGCATAATTTTTTCTAAGTGATAGACCTTTAAATACGTATTACTTTTTATCTACAATGATCCAAAAGATTACAAACATAAATTTTCTACAATTACCTGAGATCTTTAATCATGACGTCTTCACACATTTAAATAGTAAGATATTAATTTATCAATTGAATAATACCTTCATAAAATAATAATATTTAATGATCACCTCCGTATTTGGTCACCTATATTTTAGTGTATATATATATATATATATTAACTAAATTAAAAATATTCAAATATATTGTCAAAACATTTTCAAATTATGCGGGGAAGATTAAAACAAATAAAATTTATATTATTTAATTACTCATTAAAATTATAATTAACTATTATTATCACTCGCGATAATATTATACATAAATTACGTAAATTAACTACGAATTTATATAATAAATCAATATATATATATATATATATATATATAAAATTCGTCAAAATATACAAATACACACATAATATATAAATATTTAACCTATATACATATATAATTCACTTTTTTCACGCTCTGTCCAATCTCGCTTGCCTCCCTCTTCCAATCTCTCTTCCCATATATACAAATACATATATATAATATACCATTACCGATATACATATCGCCTCCCTCTTCCAATCTCTCTTTCCATATACACAAATATATATATATATATATATATAATATACAATTACCGATGTACATATACAATTCACTTTCTCCTACTCTTTTCTCTCTCCCTCGTCTCTCCCAATATCGCTCGCCTCTAGCTATTAAGTTATAGTTAATCAAACTTTAGCTATCATAAAAGTTCCCCAAGTAGGAAAGGACAAACAAAATGAATCCAAGTCCAATTCAATAGCTAATGTTCAACTCAACTCAGCCCATTGTGTGATTCATGGGCTCGACATCCACGATCCATTTGGCAATAATTCTCAATTTTTTTTAAAAAAAAGTACCTCAAAAAGATGATTATTCCAAGTTCAACATTCAAAAAACCCCACATTAATTTAGAATACTTGAGAAGTAAACAAACAAAACAGAAATACTATTTTTCACTTCTTAAACACAAAGCAAAATACAACCAAATTCAAAAAGTTATACAAAACACATAACCAAAAAGAAAGAAAAGATGTGCATTCTATTTTTTAATACTTCACTTTCACATTTTTCCCTGTTGAATCCTTAGCTTCAACTTCAGCAATACTCCCTTCAGCATCCATTCTTCCAACGTCGTTGAAGGTCTGGCCGCTCATCTGATCGGCCTGTTTCAACGACGTTGCTGTCTTACCTCCTCGAGTCTCGTCCACGTCCACCACGATCTTCGTTGTTCCAACTCCTGTAGGAGTCTCATCGGTGGTATGTTTCGGTGCCAATATACTTCCGAGCGCACCGAAAATACCACCGGTAGCAACTTTTCGATCATGATCATCATCACCTTCGTGCATTTTCATTTCATCCATTTTTCTTCTTGTTGCTTCTTCACTCTCATCATACTTTGCCTGCAATTGACACTTTTAACTATTATATACTATGTGTTCACGCTTCCTCAATCTAAAATATCGCTATTAATCGGGGCGGACCTAGAGTATGGTGAGAGAGGTTTCTGAATCATACTCGACGAAAAATTACATTATATATTTAATATACACTAAAGAATTTCTAGGTTAATATATGGATTTTGAACCTGTTGAATATAAAATTTAGAGATTGATTTAGTGATTTAAGGTGCAAACGACTACTCTCTATACTCGCTAATTTTTCTCCTTTTGATGAAAATCCTGAATCATTTGATAAGGTTATATTTAAAAATAAAAGAAAGAACATATCCATAGTAGTGAATTGTGTTTTTCAAATGAAATGAATTATCATTTTAAATATGAAATTGGACTCTTAATAATATAAGTATGAATTAAAAATGATACATCCTTCAATGACACATTAAATCTCAACATGAGAAGTCTAACATAAATATGATCTAATTAAAAATTATAATATTTAAATAAATAATTATGTCAATTTTAGAGATTATCAACAAAACAAGAATTACTCGATAATTTGTCGCATCATTTTATTAATGGCATCCAAATAATCTTTCTGAACCCATTGAAAATTCTGATTCTGAATCCACTACAGAATATTGACCTAGAAAATAAAACAAGACCAATTACTCTGAAAATGTGTTAAGATTATTTTATTTATGGAATCCAAATAATCTTTTCAAAACCCTTAATGGAAATTCTGAATCCGCCACTGAATATAACTAAAAAATAAATCAAGACCAAGACCAATTACTCTGAAAATTTGTTGGATCATTTTATTTATAGCATCCAAATAATCTACAAACAAACATGACCACAAGAAAGAAAAAATGTAAATTACATGAGAATTTTCATTATGAAAATTCGCATAAAAATAAAATTTCTATGGATTTTCATAGGAAAATTCTTCATGTAATTCATTACTTTATTTCTTATAGTGGAAGTGTCATAAACAGCTATAAACGGCTAACCTTAGCAGCTCCCGCCGTCTCATCCGCCTTCTGCTTCGCCGCTCCCGCCGTCTCATCCGCCTTCTGTTCAGCCGTTTCACTTGCCTTCTGTTTAGCCGCTTCAGCCGTTTCCCCTGCCTTCTGCTGAGCTTCGTCTTTTTTACCCGTAATCATACCCATCGCCCGCTTCGCGGCGTCAGCCGCACTATCCTTCAGCTCAGCCAATTTCCCTATCGCAGTATCTTTTCCTTCTTTCGCCTTTTCAGCCGTATAATCCTTATACTCTCCTGTTTTCTGCACAGTTGTATCTTTAGCTTCCTTAGCTTTACTCTCAGCATACTCTTCGTACTCCGTTGCTTTACGACTTGCACCATCTTTCGCTTCTTTAGCCTTATCTCCCGCGTAATCCTTGTACTCTCCCATTTTCCCTACCGTCGTGTCCTTGGCCTCCTTCGCCTTCTCCGCTGCATAATCCTTCGTCCGTTTCGCCTTATCTGCAGCAGAATCTGCATATTCCCCTGCTTTTTCCTTCACTTGATTCGCTTTCTCCGAAACAGATGATTTAGTAGCCTTACCCTTTTCCTCAGCGTATTCGCCTAATTTATCAGCTGCGGCGTCTTTAGACCGTCTTGCATTTTCCGCTGCTGCATCGGCGGTGTCGCTGGTGATTTGGGCAGTTTCATGAGCTTTTCCAGTAACGGCGTCTTTAGCTTGACCAAGAGTACCTTGAACGGATTTGATTATCGTGCCAATAACACCGGCTTTAACATCTCTTTGACTTTGATCCTTTTGCTCTTTATTATTATTCACGTCAACATCTCTTTGACTTTGATCCTTTTGCTCTTTATTATTGTTCACATCAACATCTCTTTGACTTTGATCCCTTCGCTCTTTATTCACGTCGCTAAGTTCATCAGCTGCTATTTTTGCAGCAGCTTCTGCTCTTTCTTCTTTCACAACTTTCCTTGAATCCATTTTTTTTTGTCTGAAATAATAAAACACTAGTAATATTTTTTTTTCTTAATTTTTATTTTTTTGGTACTTTTGGAATTTAATGAATGGGAATGGATTGGGGTATGGTATATATGTTGAGGTGGTAAAAGAAAATTGGATTGGACACGTGGAGGAAGGGTGAGTTTATGAGGTGACACGTGGATGGTGTTGTGGATGTTTGACACGTAGCAATTGAGAGGTGTACTTGTAATGTGTAAGGAGAAAGCTTTAATATGTAGGATATGGTTCATGACTCGAGGTGGTTGGATAAGAGTAGAAGTTTCTAGCTTACGGTAGAACGGAGTCGGACAGAATCGAGAGGTTTATAAAAAAAATAAAAAATTACACCATTTTTGATCTTGATAAAGGTTTTAATTTTTCTTTATCAATTGCGAATTATACAATTGAAGTGAAATATAATTTCCTCTAGCTTTATATATTGTGTTACTGTTTTTGTATAAAGCAAGAAAAACATATATCTTCTTGCTATACACATATAATTATGCAATATACATACATTTTAATTCGATTCAACTGTATGCAAAACAAATTATACAATTGCAGCGAAATAGGCCAACGAATTATACAATTTAGGCCAGCGAATTATACAATTGTATATGTATATCAAATTATACAATTTTATGTTTGCTATGGAGTGCAATTATGCAAAATTTGCTACAGCATACAAATATGAATTTTTTGTTTGCTATATGTGAAAGTTACCCATAATTGTATTGGGTTATACAATTACATGAAGTGGGCTAGCTGGCCTGAAAATGTACATGAAGTGGACTGTTTGTAAATAGGCCCAAATACAGTATAAGAAGCCCATGAGAGATTGGGCTGGAGGGAGTATGCGATTGAAAGTTTGAATACGGAAAAATTACATGAATTAATACATTTTTAAAAATAATTATTGATTTTAGCGATAGTTTTTGCTTATTACCATTTATAGCAATATTGTGATAAATCTGTAATATGTATTAAAAGTGAATTATAATTATTTTTGAAATATATTATGTTTGTTTGTTAAAAAATTGTCACATTGTATTATAAGTATATTAAAATGTGTGATAAATGTATTATTCATCATTAGAACTTGTATTATATTTGAATAATAAATTTATCTTTATAATATGTATTAAACTTGTATTATAAATGAATTAAAAGTGATCAAGTAAAAAAAATATTACTACTATAAATATTAAATATTTTTATTATTATAATATATTTATGTAAATTTCCCTTTGAATATTTACGATAGATCAATTTAAAATGTTTTTATTGAAAGCGTAACATTGTGAATACTAATTTTTAAATTTTTTTCCCTAAGATCTACCTTTGACATTTTAAGCTAAAGTTTAGTCTGTCTTGTGTTGCTTTTTGGGTTATGGGTACTCGTTTGAATTTTCTAATGATATCTTTAATTTCTTTTTTAGTTGACTAACTGCGTTAATATGATATTATTTGTATTGATTTACTTATTTAACATTTATGATAATTGAATCATGGTATATGAATAAACACTGGGTAATATGTACATTAAATCGATTTACTCGATATAAGTTGATAGGTATGAGACTATGAGTTATCGCACCTCCTCTCATTTTATTTTAGATGCGTGTAATGTAATTCAAATATTTATGCCTGACCATTAAATTTTTGAAATCAAATGTTTATTGTTATAAATTTTAAATAGATTTTTTAAATCTAAAAGCTTTAGTACATAGCTAAAAATTATTATTTAAATTTTCCTTATGTCGATTTCTTTTTTGTGCTATTATAATTAGTGTGCTCTAAGTATGAAATTTTCCTAAACCTCACAATTTAATGGCACTCACTTGATTGTGTAAACCTATTAGTTTGCATTCACTCTTGCCACATTTTACCTATAGCCATATATTGCCTTTTTCTCTAAGTTCTTGTTTTGTTTAAGGAGCGATTCGATGATTCGTTAAAAAGTTATTTAAATTGAAATGAACTAATAAATAAAAAAGTATCTTTTTTTAAAAAATAGATTTATAATTTAAGTTTGATTGCGTCTCGACTCTGGACGGCATGTCATTGACATGCCCAAACTTGATTGGGTTAGAGATGTCAATTTTTTCATGGGCTACTTTGGCCATTCCTAATTTGTCTCTTTGACATGCTAACCCAATTGAAGAAAATAGTGAATTACTTAACAAATTACAAATTAACATAAATCTAGGAAATACAAAACATCTTAAAGAAGGAAAAAAAAAGAGCAACATCATCAAGTATTTGAATTGTGATATCTCCCATTTAGATATTCCAATTCAAATTCTTGGTCAACTCACAAGTAATAAACATGAAGAGATAATAATAAGTTTGCAAACTTTCATATGATTTGAACCGCGCTTGGTGAAGTAAGTGTTCCCGGACTAAAGAGAATAGAAGAACACCATGCAAAAGAAGCGGGTGATAGAGGAAAATTAGCCAAGGGACTACACGACCCAAAATAATTTTCTGATGGGATCCGAGATATTACATGTGATTTTTCTTGTGCTTCAAACGTTGTTGAATCAACACACATCTCAAATTGATTGTTTGTAGAAGAAGAAGGAAGAAGGTACTCGCGCCATTGTTCAAGAACATCATCATCATTATTAGTATTGTTATTATTGTTACTTCTTTGTAATGAAACCGGTGAGAGATTAAGTGGAGGAGGAGCAATATCCTGTAAACGCCTCGAATTGAAAGAGCTAGAGCCAGAGCTACAACCAGAGCCAAAACCATAGCGAGAACCAGAACCAGAATCAGAACGAGATACAGAATTATTAGAAACAGATTGAAACTCGGGAGATGAAGTGAGCATTTGGACAACATCCTTGAAATCATTAGGTTCAACTCTATATATTTTAGGAGGTGTTGGTGGCAAAGGTGCAATTGGTAGTTTAGTCATTGGTTTTAATGGGAGCCTTCTAACTCCATGAAGTGAGGAATGATATGAAGCTAATTTTTTATTTTTCTTCACTTCTTGTGCATATGTAGAAGAAGTATTATTATTAGAAGAAGAAGAAAAAGAAGAAATAGCATATGAATAAGAATCCATTTTTTTAAAATTCTTTTTTTTCTATGTTTCAAGTTTGTCTTATAACATGAAATAGTACTTTAGTTAATTGCTTCCTTCTATATATAGAGAGTAAGGTGACAAACTAGAGCAACTTGTCTTAAATGATATTTCGTCAGTTCAAATTTACGTGATACATTTTCTTTTATTAATCTGATTAGATAAAAAAAAATATATTTTCATTTTACCTACTAGTAATAGTTAAGCTTTAAGCTTCTAAAACCTTAATTAATAAAATAATTCATAACATAATAATTTCATATTAAATCACAAATTTTAATATCTTATTTTTTTCTTAAATTTCGTATCAAAAATAAAATTTGTTTTTAGCGTCGGCTATGGATGAACATGATGTAACATTACAACTTGCAAATGTCTAAGTGTCTAGTCTATAAGAAAAAAAACTGTTTATTATATTTGACCTATATTATAAAATTGCCTCCATTTTTGTTTAATTCTTCTGTTAATATCTGTACTACTAATTGTTAATTCAACATTTATTATTTTTTTCGCCAATATGTGGGAGGTGTTTATTGATTGTATTTTTTATTTTTTTTATAACAAGTGAAATTAATAACATAAAATAAGATAAGTAATATGTTATAATAAAAGTACATTTGTAGTGTATGCAATCTTTATAATAATATATTATCAATTCTTCTACTTGTACTACTCTTTTACATTATATATTTTTATGTGATATTTTTTTAATCATATAGTTTTTGTTAATGTTGATGCTACTATATAATTCGAATATGATATGGTACAAGAACCTCAAAACACATCATTAAAATGAACTACTATAAAAAAAAATTATTTACCTATTAAAAAATATTTAGTAACTATTTTCATAAAATATATATTTTGATTGAATCAGTAAGAAAATTAAAAAAATAAGAAGTTTTTCACTATTTTTTATACAATTTTTTACGTTAACCGATTCGATAAAAAATATTGGAGAAAATTATATTTGTAGTATAAATTTCTTAATAATTCGCGATAAAAAAAATCATTTTTAATTTTTTTTTGGGATGATTGCTTCTACACTATTTGTATTGATGAATCATAGTTCAAAATTGGAAATAGACAAAATAAGAAATCTGTTGACTAAATCAAACATAGTCATTTTCCCTTGATCAAAGACTAAAGAGATTGATTGATTAATTAAATTATTTTTCGTGTTAGCGAAATATCTGGATAGGAGGAAATTCATTTTATTTGAATCATAGTAACTGCAAATGTATCGAGAAATATTATAATAGTATTTATATTAATTATAACTATCTTCGCATATACTAAAGAGTTTCAATTGTAGATTATTTATTATGCATTGTAACTTTCGTAGGATGTGTTAGGGTTATTATTATTTTCCTTTTGTTATTAACTATATACAAATATGTTTTTAAAAGATTCATTCAAAAAGATGAAAAAAAGATAACAAATTATAAAAAATTATTGACATTAAAAAACTTTAATTATTATTATTATTTAGCATCGATTATAGATGAATGCGATGTAACATTACAACTTGCCACGTCTATCTAAAATATATTTGACCTGGACTATAAATTTACCTCTATTATATTGTTTAATAATTCTTACATAATATTCAATATTTAATTTGAATCAATTTAATTAAGTCTATTCATTTTTATTTATATAATTTGATTGAACATATCAAAACACATCGAATTGATAAAATTTAAATATTAAATCCGTCTCAAACCTTTAGCTGGCGGCTAAATATATCAGCAATCCTTTTCATGCATTAAATTTGTAATGTTTGAGATATAATTGTTAGTATAAGTTTCTAGTTGTATCATAATAAGTAGTTAATATATCAATATAGATTGTGGTGCATTAGTGTGAGTGTTTATTTTCAATCAGATGTCTCGAGTTTGAGCCTTGAATATGGAGAAAATTTTATTGGGAAGCGTCATCCGCGAACGGATCCTGCAAAACGTGATTCAAATTTAG